TTGGTGTAAAAGGATATAGGTGTCTGATCCTAGATTCAACTAGCTGAGGTACTAATGGCAGGGCAGGCAAAGGTTCTGATAATTCAAAGTAGTTATCTGGAATTGGACTACTGAAGTAGTAATATTTATTTAGTTTCACATGGAGCTCTCTTAAATTCTTTAATGACAAGTAACTAGTTATTGAAAAAAAATTCCTAATTTCCTGGTTAAGTTGACTAGGCCTCTCTGGCAGTAGTTCTCTTGGATCTACAAAGTATGTCTCAGGCAGTAACTTGAACTTATATATTTGTCGCATAGCAATTGCAATTGCTCTAGTATTCTTTTTATCGTCTGTGGGTAGGTTAAACAGTAACCTTTTATTGATTTCTGGATCAAGTCCGTCTGGGGAGTCTGGTAACTCAATTAATGTTGCACTGTGTTGTTCTGATATCATCTTTCACATATCATCAAACATTATTGTTGTTTTCAGTTGGGCGAATCAGATACAGTAGAATATATGCTTAGTAATTTCTAAATCGTCAAGCAAATGAAAATTTAAATTCTTTATTACATCAAGTGCCAGGCTCGATTTTAACATTGCAAATATCTGATCTCTGTTCTTTTTGTTCGTAATTGTCACGCTATGTATTTGTTTATACTTGTCAATAGCACTATACAGAAGCTTGTTGAATTTGTCTTGGTGAGGGGGTATGGTTTGTTTATTTCTTGTAAAGGAGCAGAAGAATGCAGTGTCTATGAACTGAAATTTAAGCTTTATTGCTTCTGGCATAGGAATATTTGCTGTCTGGTTAGGAATTTGTGACTTATAAATTCTTTATACATATCCTGAGATTCCAGCGTTTAGATTATTTTGTCGTTATGCTATTCTGCTATGTCAAATTCATTTTTTACGAGATCAGCTTTGAATCTTCTAATGTGTTGCACTCAGTCAGTAGTACAGTCATCCAATAGTCTGATTGTCTTTTTTCCAACTAGTTTGTCACGATATGATGGGATAGGTGTTGTAGCTTATGATGATATTGTGTTTATAGATTTTTGATCCTCAGGTTGTTCCTCTGTTGTTATGTATGAATTAGTATTAATCGTAGTCATTGCACTAGATTGTAATAATAGCTGCATGCATTGTTCATCCAACATTGATGCTATATCTATCGGCCTTTGTGTGTTTGTTGCGGGTGGCTCAGTTTGTGATTGTGGGCTGGGCCCTTGAATTTTTGGTTCTTGGCTGGGTCTTTCTTAAGTTGTATAGTTTGTAGATCTATTTCTCGCGTGCTTTGATCATCACAATCCATGTTCTGCCTAGCGTGGGAATTTTCTCCCAAATCTGTATCTATGACTATTTGTGTTTGGTATGACATCATTTCTTGGCAAATGATTGTGAAAGTGGTTTCCCCACTTTTTTTTTATTTTTTTTTTCTCGAACAGGTTGTCGTCTTGAGTACTCATAGGGTTATGTCTTTGCTTTAGTTTCTTTTTTGTTGAAATTTCTTTCATAATATTGTGTCTCACAAGGACAAAACTATTTGTAGTTGTTGTTATATTACTGCCTTTTGTATTTGTTATTGACAAAGTCAATGACAAGGTTGCTTGTGTGTTATCTGCTGCTAGCAAGCTTCTGTCTCTTTTCTTGCTACTCAACTTGTATCTGGCCCTTGGTTGATGTTCCTTACACCTAGAAGTGCAGTATCCTCTAAGAAATTAGTTTTATTATAAGTCTTTCCCTTCTAATTGATGGTTTTTTGAATTATTTTTTTGCAGTTTATTTGTTTACTTAGTGTTTTGGGATCTATGGGAAAGAGTTCATATTTCATTTTAGTCTGTATATTTATCATAGAGCATTTCTAATTATGCAGATTATGTGGTATGAGGTGTGGAATACCCCTATTTTTAATATCTATTCCGGTGTTATGTATTATTAGAGTAAGCATTAGAAAATCAGTATATTATGTTTTTTAAAGAGGTACTTTACCATCTAAAAATCTTATGGAATTTCTTGTTTGTTTAGATCATAGTACTTCATATAGTTGTATACCGATATTTATTTATCAGAATTCAAAACTATATATAGCTATTCTGTATTGTAGTTGATTAGCTATATTAATCTGTCCCTAGTGTGACAATGTCGCCAGCTTCTTATTATTAAATCTTACACTTGTAGAATTAAAAAATGCTAAATATTACGGGAGAAATTAAAAGTGAAATAAAGGCTTTTTTTTAATATCGTTTAATATAGAGTGCAGATCTGAAAAATTCCATATAAAAATTTTTAATAGTACATCAACTTTATTTGAAAAATTATCCATGTGCACTCTACCCTTAAAGTTTCCCTTATTAAATTTACAAACCTAAAATTATCTGTATTTCAATATTTAAAAATCATAACCTACCGTAGCATCCAATCAAATTCATGATTTTGGTGATGAACATTTTGATAAAAAATACTTTCTGCTCTCATTTACGAAAAACCCGTTCATATTAAGGATTTTTATTAGTTAATCATTTAAAATAAGTTATTTAAGTCATGAATCTTTATCATTAGGGTTTATCTTGATAATCATGTTATTGGACATATAGTTTACCATAACACATAACGAGATTTTTAAGGCAAAGATCCCATATTTCGGAAATAAAAATTGAGTTTGGAATTACCGACGTTAATTAAAAGAGTGTATTTAGAAACCAAACTAGTAATTAGTCATGTCTAAATGTCTGTACTTGATTGGCCTCAAAATACGTACGTACGATACATCGTAAATTGCATGATCATGCTATATTAGGATTTTTACGATATCATTGTAAATAGTATGAGATAAGATAGGAAGTTATTTGGAATAATTATGTTGTAAATGGATACAGAATATGAGTGGATTTGTAATTCTTTAATTGGATTAGAATTTTGGGTAGAATTTATCATATATAAACCTACACCATAATTTTATTTAACTAAGAAATTTTGAATCCACTTAGATCCTGTTTCTACTTACAACATATATATAAGAATCTAACACACTAATAATAAAAAAATAATGACTATAATCCAAAATTTTATCTTGTTATTCATTTTATTGATCGAATTTTCTGCGGTTAATGTTATTCCGTATCAACTGGTTAAAAGAGAGACTACTATTTTTGATTGTTCGTCGTCGCCTGAAGGTTCAATGATCAGTGGAGTAACACTTACTCCTGACCCTCCATCCGGCTCTGAACTCAAGATTAATTGTAATAATGTAACGACCAATACAGATATTATTAATGGCACTACATTGAGTATTCTCTTTTTCGATAATTTCGGCAGGACCTTATACGATCCCAGGGCTGTCGATCTTTGTAAATTTATAGAATGTCCAACCAAATATTTTTACTTTGCTTACATATATTATAACATCTCTAAACCTCCTTTACCTCCTCAGTTTCCCCCATCATTCTCCATTAGAATCACAGTCGAAAATGTTGAAACTTTAGCTTGTGGAATTGTAAATTTCCAAGCTTAATTTCTTTTGACTTTTTTTTCAAATATTCACATATATATGTTATTCACTTTGAAAATGACATTTGCTTAATTAATAATAAACAGATAAAAAATATATAAGCTTTGCAATTTAATAGTGCATTTTATCTTCCTTTTATTGCATAATATTGACAACAGAGTTATTACAATATATAAAATTGTCTATTGGTAGTTGCTGTACTTGTTGGTAATTAATATTATACTAATATGTATCGTATTTGTACAGATTAATTGTCATTCAACCAGGTTTTCCCAATTGTTACTATTTGAATCATATAGTAATAGTAACAGTTATCGGTCAGCTATTTTTGACATCGTATAATAATAATAATAATAATAGCCGGCTATAACCGGTTTTATATTAAATTACGATATTATCACTTAAACGAATGGACCTTAAATCACATGATCGTATCAGTTAGCCATATTAATACCCATTGGTTACACAAGTTTTTATTGGATGCAGCCATTTCCGACCGCACTGTATCACAAGTATCATATATACCCTTCAATATCTATTTATTAGTCTACTATATCTTATTACCTATATTACCATTTATATATCTATTAGTATCGTTATATTTATTGGATTACATAGTTAACATAGTTGTATAATAATAGGAATGTATAAATATCCCTGTTTACCCATTACGGTGCATTTGCGAAATACCCCAAAATCTAAGAAGTTTGACTACAAGTGATGAGTCAATTTAATTGACTCTGGATATACGTAATTTATTTATCGTTATGCCAATTTAATTGATATCGATATTACATATTTATTTTTATGATTTAACTATAATATAATAATAAAATAAACACAAGTATTTTTTAGTTAACAAAAGATTTATCGTTATTAACTTTTCAAAATTATTATTCGAAATGAAAGAAATTGGTGAAGAAAATTCAAATTATCCCGTAGATCGCAGATTAAATGGAAGTCACCACGAAGAAGTTTTCAATATTACATTGTAAAGGAAAGTATGATTCATAACGACTCCATTTACTCTTTTTCTTAAAAATCGTATTTGGGCAAAGTGGGCATGAAAAAATTTATTTGAAGAAATATTAATAATCTTTTCGCTACGATGCACTTTCTGATAATGTATCTTGAGACCACGGTGACTTTTAAATTTTTGTTATCACATAAGAACATAAAACGCTTTTAGTGTTACTATCAATCATTTTTTTAGTAATTTTCGGCAGAACTTGAAAATGGGTTGTAATAGTGGAAAAATGGGTTAGACGCATTGTTATTATAAATTTGAAGGGCCAAAAATTTTTTCTGGAGTTTAATTTTAATCAATCAGTAATAAATTTGGTGACCAAATTTTTAGTTTTGGTGACCAAAAATTAGCCAAATTTCTCAAACGTGCCGTAATGCCAAATCGTATCTAAAAAAAGCAAACTCATCTCATTACAGCTACGTACTTGTATCGTCAAATACATTAAGTTTTGTGCATCTTTCGTAAAAGCAAATCAATCACTCTTCTTAGAGCTTAACTACAATGAATTATACATTTATTTTAGCATATACACGGTCATTGTTATCATTTGCATGCAATATCCGTAGCAGGTAGCTAAAGAAAACTTGCTATCACATAACTTGTAAGAGGTAGTTTGGGTGTAACACCAGTTATAGCCTATCAATTACTTAATTAATCTTAAATTAAACACATAAACAAGTGACAAATAATTTATGCAATATTAGAGTACCCGAGTTATGGCGAAAAAAGGTCGGGTCACGTGGTATAAACAGCCAATCAAAATCTGTGCTAGGTTATGCATGTTACCAAAAATTTCAAAATAACCCAATAACTACTTATTTAAAATTGCTACAGATTATTTTATTTTATTATATAAATAAATATAATTAAAGTAAAAAAATTTTCATCGAATTTTGATAAGTAGGTATTGAGTTAGCAACGCTCAAAGTTTGGAAAAAACTGTTTTGATAATAGCCTAAATTTTTTTGAATTTTGAGTGATGATATCTCAGTAGTTGCATACCTAACTCAATAATTTTTTTTTTTATTTTAATTCTATGAATCAATATAATTAAAATAAAAAAAAATTACATCAATTTTAAGTAGGTAATTATCGAGATATCATCTCAAGGTTCAAAAAAATTTTGGATGATTACAGCTGTTTTCATAAATTCTGGGACACCCTAAAAAAATTTGCCGAAGTCTATTCGGCCGAAGTCGATAAGTTATTGATTTCGGGAATAATAAGATTCAGTAACAGATAATATCAGATGCGTAATTTAATAAGATCAGGTGACTAATATATATTACAATACAGCAGTAAGACTAAAATCGATATTCTTTGGCATGATCCATTTTCGCTCAAATGAAGCCTTTATTCATTTCTCGACGAAAACTCATTTTTAAAAAATTTCAATTCCTATTCTTTGGAAAAATCCATTTTCGCTCAAACGTCATTTTTAATGATTTTTCGACGAAACTTCGGTTTAAAAAATTGTGTAAAATTTCAATTGCAAGTTCTATTTTCATTCAAACGAAGCTTTTATTCATTTCTAATTATTTTTCGACGAAATTTTGTTTTTAAAAAATTGTGTAAAATTTCAAATCCTATTCTTTGACAAGATCCATTTATTTATTTCTAATTATTTTTTGACGAAAATTAGTTTTTAAAAACTTCAATTCCTATTCTTTGACAAGATTCATTTTCGTTCAAACTCATTTCTAACTATTTTTCATTTCTTGTTGAAGAAAAATTCGGGTTTAAAAATTAAACTAAATTTCGATCCTATTCTTTGCAAGATCCATTTTTGTTCAAACGAAGACATTTATTCATTTCTAATTATTTTTTGTTTCTTGTCGAAGACGAAAAATTCGTTATTAAAAAACTAAACTAAATTTCGATTCCTATTCTTTTGGCAAGATCCATTTTCGTTCAAACGAAAGCATTATTTATTTCTAATTATTTTGTCGAAGACGAAAAATATATAAATAAATATAAACATAAATTTTTTATTTTGATTTAGTTTATCATAATTCTTCATGCATTCTCGACAGATATTAATAATAACAAATTCATATCATATTTAACTTTTTTAATAGCGGCACCTGTTCGAGTAATATATTTATTATAAAAGTCTAGTTTATATTCGATTCCTTTTTACATTTCTTGTTAAGGTTTATTGGTTGACATGAAAGTTTTTTCTATAAATTCTCGTACAAACTAAACGTACCAAACATGTTGGACAAGCATTCGAACGAAATTTTAAAATTGTTGATATTATTGTTATGACAATCGTAAAATGATCTTTTATTATACTAATACGAGTCATATAACTTAACCGGATCAGCTGAAAAATCATTCGGCAAATTTTTACAGGTGTCCCAAGAATTATGATAATAGCAGTAATAAAAAAAAACCGTACAGAATTTATTATTAAAAATCAATTTTCTTGTTCGAATTAGTTATTTCTTATAAGTCTTATTTATTATAAATAAATTAATTATAAATTGTCTAGATAGTTAATACAAGCCAGATATTATATTACAGCTGTTTTCATAAATTTTGGAAAATCTGGCAAAAATTGACCAACCGAATATCTGCCAGTTCGATAAGTTTTTGTGCAGTGATAAACTTCTGATTCGGGTTTGATTAAAGTAATAGGGTGGTTCAGAATTAAGGATCAGGTTTCTGATTTCGAATTAATTAGTGATGTATTTATTTCGAAACCAATGATTCATAAATCTTTTTATTTTTATTTGTAAGCTTATTTATATAATATATAGCAATCTTTTATGATCGTAAATTTTCTCGAAACTTGATATCTTTCACATTGTTATAGAACGAATTTATTATTAGTTTATTATTTATTATTTATTATTTATTAATTATCTTAGAATATTATTATCTTGTATTATTATTAACATGTCGCTTAGTTGCTTAGTCGCTTAGTCGCTCAGTCGCTTAGTCGCTCAG